CCGTGCGCGGGCGGCGGGCGGGCGAGCGGGGGAGTGCCGCCGCGGGCCGGGCGCTCGTCGCCTCCGTTGGCTGGCTGGGGCGGGGCGGGGGTGAGGAGGGCCAGCGGAAGGCCTCGATTTGCGGGGCGGAGCGTGGGAGGGGGTGAGAGGCGGGCAGCGAACGCGGAGAGAGAGGGGGCAGGTCTGCACTCTTGGTGGCGCGTGTTAATGAAACCAGCAACAACAAGATCCGCGAGATGATTAGCGAGCAGGGTTGCAGATTAAACTAACACGCCGCGGTACACGGGACGCTGTTAAGCGGAGGGAATGTCCCTCCCGTGCCGAGATGCGCGAGAGCGAGACGGATAATAATTGTTATTCTTTTTTTTGACGGTTTTTTTCCGGGGAAAAAATGTTATTCTAGTATTCTAGTACTGTGTGAATTTTGAATTTGCTAACCACATGTCCCAGGTGGTTAGTATTCTAGTACTAGTAGTAGTAGATTAGTAGTAGTACTGTGGGGGTCATTTTTATAAGACGATTAACGTTGGGGATTTAGAGGGGAGATCTCTGTCGGCGCCGACCCAATGGGAGGGAGGGGAAGGGATATATCATTATTATTTTCTCTCTTCCTTCGCTGTCCTGCTGCTGGTGCTGCAGTACTGATGCGCGTATGGCCAATCAATCAGCTTTGTCACGTGAGTCTTTCCTTTTGTTTCCGTTTGTTTTTTCCTATGGACTTTGCTCCTCGAGATGCTGCGCTTTCATTCTTTGCCAAGAAGTTGTAAGGAAAGACTTTTAGTGCAACGAGCCGGAGGAAACCCAAACTGGCCACGGCCGAGCAAGGGGATACTCACGCGGCTGCCGACTACGAGAATGTACCGCTTCCGGGCAAAATGCCTGATTGGTTTTCTATATCACGTGCATCCCACATTCCCACACTCTACGCACAGAATGTTCGATCAGAGATCTACCCATCCATCCATCCACGCGCCGACACGGGCATGCAGCCACCGACACGCAACAGCTTGCTCGACGGAAGTCCATGGGATCCACACAGCTAATGGTCACCAAAATCCACAAATGCCAGCGACACACGGGGCCTCATGTCCAAGGGAGTTATGGCGCGCCCATAAAGACCCACCCAAATTTGGTGCGTGAAGGTTGAAGATCTTTTAGCCACAACACTGCTGGTCATTTCGCTCGTGAGTTCCTGGCCAGAAGAAAAAGGAAAAAAACTCTAGGGCTCAGATGCTCAAAGTGAGCCCCAGCTGGTTACAGCGACACGCCGACACCATGTGCTTGTTCAGTTGCTCTGGAAGAAGACATTTTACACGAAACAGCTTGGTTCCCACAGGAGTCCAGTAAAAATCGAGCATTGCAAAAGCAGGCCCCAGGCCCAGTGTCTCACGTTTCCTGACGGGCAAAAGTTACGCACCACAAGGTGCCGAATCGCTTCTTCTAAGCTGTATCTCCCATACACGTGGGAGAAAAAAACTGTTCCATCTGAGCAGTCGCAACAAAATGACCACCTTCTCCGTTTAAAAAAAATGTCCGCCTTTTCTGTATGATTACATCTAGACCCAATTAAATTTACACGACGATCTCATCTCAGGGCGTCCAATTCTCCACCGCCAAATGCAGCCAGACACAGATCCTGGAACACGTCGACATGTTCCTGTCATTTCTGTTTGAACTCCCTTCAACACACAACGGCGAATGCGTTTTCGACCTCTAACGCCAGAATTCCTGCTCATGGCTCCGCCACACATGGACTCTGCCACAATGGAGAAAAAACTTCTGGGGATCGACCAGACATCAATGCTTTCATGTCACTCCCCATCTACTTTATCTGCATGAAGCCCGAGACCTCGCCTAAGAAAACCCGGAGATTTTTCCGAAATTTCTGCCTGTTTGGCCGGTCAAGGGTGCTTGAGAGATTGTTTGAACTTGTCAGGTTATGGAAAGCAAGTGCCAGCCTTGATTTTATAGTCGGATTCTGCTCTTTCTCAAGCAACTCATGGACCAGTCTCTGCAGAGGGAGACGTGATGAGAACACATAGCAAAATAACAAAAATTAAGCCTTAGTATTGTACTTGATCTGATAACTGTTAGCCTATTAGATAAGTGGCGAGAAAGGACCTGATATAACTCCTGTTCACAAAAAAGTAAAGGAAGCAAAGCATCTGCAGCAGAACCTGCTAGTTCCATTCTGCAAGAGTCGCATATATCAGATATGTACAACAACAAATAAGGTAAATGGAACAATATGAAGAAAAAAAATGAAGTTACAGGATCCTAAATCTATACTGAATGTCGACGTGGGGAGCTCACCTAAAATCTTCAAACAGAAGTAGTTGCAGGAGAAGCCTCAAGAAGTGACTTGATATGCTTTCCTGAAGTTTGCCATTCGATCCTTCAGATTCCATAACCTGCGAGCCAAGCCCTCCTCTGCCTCCAAATCTTTCTTTGAAATGGTACGAGGCAAGGGCATTTACTGCTGTGAGGCACCTCTCAACAACATCGCCATCCTGCAACATGGAAAACACAAACCTAGCTATATCAGCTGAAGAATATAGACTGTATTTCAACATACAGAATGCACGGCAATGGCAATTGTTTCACATATTATATAGATCAAACAATATTTGTAGACATCACAAGTGGCAGGCAAAAATACATCTGATTATTCATTGTAATTTGCCAGTTATATCGCATTTCAGAAAACAGAAGTTCTGTCCAGTCATCTTATAGCATACACCACATTTTCCATGATTTCAATACACTGAAGGCTTGCTCTGATCACCTTATATCAGTCAAGAATGATTGCACATTTAGGTGCTCACAGTAGCAAATCAGAAAGATATAGAAAGTTGAGCGTAGGTTCATAGAGAATCCAGATGCAAGAGTCATTGGTAGCAGAGGGTATGTAGGCACGCCATATAACCAAGCAAGGTCCAGTTGCTACCAACTCAGTAGCTCACTGCAGTGAGTACTGCTGCTATTTGAAAATTTAAGCAAAAGTAGGACAAGCAGTAAATGCAGTTACGTGAAGATCCTCTTGCCTGATTACGCAGGCCAAATTCAAGACTACCAGTAATTCTTCCAAAGGCATCCCTGTTTAAGTGAGCAACCTTCTCAGGGTACACTTCCAACAAGTGTGACATAAGTACAAAATACTGCAAAGAAACCAAATTACTTAGTATCATTTGATTGTCATTATATTATACTAGAAGAAAAATGGAAAGAAAAAAAAAACTTACATCACGACTTAGTTTAGGGTACTTGAGAAGATCCAAAGATATCAAGGGAGTCACAATATCAAGACCAACATAGATGACCTGCGAAAGTAACATTTGAGTTATTTTCAAACTAACTAAGTAGTAAATGCAGTTAACTCTTGATGTGGACAACTGAATACCCCTGGTTAAATGGTTAAAGTAAGACATGACAAATGTTCTTTAACCAGAACGCTTTTAGTATTTTTCCTACAGAAACTTTCCTTCAATAACCTCAATGTTTCTGGTTCAAGACATGGCAGATGTATGGCAACCATGTGTCTAATTGGGGGCTAAGCCACAGATACATAGCCTTGAATTTAACAAGGATTTCTTCAAGGCCATATTTCTGGTTCATGTCCAGGATGTCCCAGCTGTGTCATTTCTTGCTGGTCAAATGCAAGCCCGTAGACAGGTCAGCACTTAAAAACTTCGCAATGCTCCAATTGCATAACTGTAAGTAAACGTTAATTGGCATATTGGTTACCTATCTGACCAAATTGTTCTGTGGTTTTGTGATCATGAGACAAGTAAATAGAGTTGGCTACCGATGGCAGAGGTGGACAATTTTGTTTATGGAATTTCCTAATGGTGACCAGTAACCACGAGTGCTAACAGTAAACAATCTATACACAACAATATGTACAGTTAATTTTCTTAGAAGCAGAAAATACTGGAAAAACATCAAACGACGTACCTCTGCAATATCTGGGGAGCCTTCAATGTTGCTATCAGATAAGAAACCCACCTGCATTTGCCAACAGTGTCACTTAGTCATCCGGGGCATCTTCGAACAGACAATACACAACAGGGTGTAAAGGGTGAAGGTTACCAAATCCTTTGAGCAGATATTTGTTAAAAGCCGAAGCAAAGCACGCAGATCCTTGTACTTTTCGGATTGTGATTCACTTCGCAGAGTTGAAGAAAGCGAGAGCATTACCTAGGCAAAAGAGACAATAAGCAAGTCTTATAGAACATTCTCTCTAACATTGATGGCAACTGCACTGTCGGGAAGTTACTCCCTAACATTGATATATCACAAAAGTTTAGAAAAAAACAGAAGCTCATTTGCTTTGGTCCATATTACATTGGCCACAACAAGGCTTTTTTGTCAGTTTGCAGTAAGTAACATAAATTTGATGAGCGTATGCAAATATTTACTGTCCTCACACATTATCTCCAATAGCACAATGATTGTTGACAATTTGTTCCCTTTAACTACATCTGGAAACAGAACAAACACAGATCTCCTGCCCCCGCGTCACCTTCCTCGGGCGTCAGGTGGTGACCCGCCGCCGCCTCCTGGTCCCAATTCGCGCCCCTTCCCCAAGGCTATGTTTCCTTCCCTCTCTTCCCCCATGTGGATCCCGTCCTCGTCGAGTTTGGCTGCCCGGTGTAGCATGAAGCCTCCTCCAGCACCGCACAGTGCCTCCTTTGGCGCCTCTTCCCCAGATCTGGTAGGCAGAGGCCCACATCCGGCCCTCCCGGGTGAGAAGCTCGCCACCTCGGCACCCTCCGGTCTCCCTCCCTGTCGGGGCGACCTTGTGGCGCCTCCGGCGCTTGGCTCCCTTCACCACGGGTTGGTGCTATCCCTGGAGGTCGGGGCCATGGGCTAGAGGGCTGCGATCTCTCGTTCTCTCGCGCTCTATGGCTGTGGGCAGGCTCCGGCTGCGGCAGCGCCCCTGCCTGGCTGGGTGTCGGGTCTGGGGGCATGTAGGAGAGGATTTGGGTGTGGTGACTGCAGCCAGGCGGGCTGCGATCACCGTCCGTCCACTCATGTGCCGCTGTCTGGCCGTTTCAGCCCAGATTTGGGCGCTGCAGAGGTGTTGCAGGTCCAGTAGGTGGCGTGATCTAGGGTTGGATGGAGACCCTTGTTGCTGCTCGGGTGGGTGTCGTCTGGATGTCAGGTTGGTGGGGTGATGTGGATCCTTGGATGCCAGAGCAGCGGCCCCGGAAGGTGAGGCTGCGCGGATGGCTTTACGGCGAGCAAGCGAGGGGAGTGGTGGCGGGTGATCCTGGTGTTATCATGGCTTTGGCAGTGGCGGCCTCCGGTCTTGGTCTAGAGGCCTCGAGCTGGCGGCAGCAGTTCTCCCCTCGGGTTGGGTGGCGACCTTGGTACCCCTTGTGTCAAGGATGAGGCTCAGAGCGAAAGCTCCGCGCCCCGTCACCGGCGATGCCTACGAGTATCGTATCCCTCTTGGGGGCATCGTTGTAGGTCCCCTCTCCATGTCAGGGCTCCGGGCGAAAACCCTTGTATGTCTTCTTAGGCTCAGCGACTGCGGTGCATTGTGTCGTCTCCCTCTTGCGGGTGTCTTCCTAGAAGCTCAGGTGCCTACCAGTCGCGGCTCGTCGGCGTATTCAAGCATGCTTTGATCCTGGTGTGAAGCTTCTTCGATTGTGGCATGGGGTGGCCTCGTTGGCCTCCTACCTTTTACACATGACCTCGTTGTCACCATTCTCGGTCCTCGCTGTCCGTTGGCAGGATCGGCGCTCTGCGGCCTGGAGCAAGAGGGCAGGCGGACCTCTCCGGCCATAGCTTGGCGTGTACGGTGCAGTGAGGCGCGGTTTCAACCCAGGTTGGTAGTCTCAGTTGCCTAGTGTTGGATCTGGCTACTCCTGTTCTCTTGCTCGGCTTTGGGCTGGTGGCATTCTCGCTACTTTCCTGGATGTCGTTTTTAATTTTGACCTGCTTTGCAAGAGGATTTCCTCATCACCTTGTATGATTCGGCCGTTTGTGATTTATATTATAAAGCGGGGACCAAGCCTGTTTCGAGGGAAAACTACATATGAAAAGCCCAAAGCAAATCCCCTTTTCCAAACCTTCCCTAATGGCATGTTTGGATAGATAGGGATTAGAGCCAATCCTTTTGTATAGGCTAGCTCTAATGGTGCTCTATCTAGAAGCAAAAGATCCGACCCAACACAACAATGGGCACATGCCGCATGTGCCATGCAAACATGGCAAAAATGTATGGAGCAGGCGTGTGAACACAAACCACCTTGTTAAACATGCACGCGTGTGTATTTGAGAAAAAGGAATGTTAGCAGCATCATTGTGGAGAAAATTTTCTGGCACAGAATAACACAGTAATAAGAATTCCTGTTCTTACCTTTCCAATATTATGAGAGGAGTATATCTGGAGCAGATGTAAGCAAAAGCTCATCAAAACTGATGTCTCCTTACCATCCAGGAATACAGCTTGACCATCAATGAAGTCAACCACGAACTTGAGTATCATGTATACGACTTCAGACTAAAAAAATAAGAAAAATTATTCTAGGATCTTCAAGGTTCAAATTCACATGTCTAAGCGTGATATGATTTTATCTAAAAATAATTGATAGGATGCATCAATAGATGAGCTACAATACCTGATTTTTGTACACCTCCAGAAGAGTCAAGAGTGAGTTCATCACAGTATGACCCATCTCAAACAGAACCTTTTGAGTGCGAGGCTGAGTAGCTCTAGCAGCTCCTCTTAGCCGTTCCAATAGGCAACAGACCTACAGTTATTTCCCATTATACTAGCCTCAAAGAGCTTAAAGCAAATAACATGCATACTCACCATGTAGATAACATCTGGTTGATGTGCAACAGATTTAAGATCACTCCTACTAGCATTTTCTACTAGGCATCCTGCGACTGGTCCCATGAGGTCTCTCAAATACCTTTGTCAAACCAACACAGGCTCTGTTAAATCTCACATATTTATTTATTATAAGATAACATACAGCAGCTCAAAAGGGCTTACTGCACAGATGCTTCGGGATCTTTGATGCAGGAAGCTGCACATGCAAGTGTTTCTGCTAGAGATCTCTGTGAAGGTGTGGTAAGTAGTAACAAAAGCATAAGGTCTTCACAAATGAAAGCATAAGTTAAAACTGCATGGTGAGTGCATATAACACTTACCTGTAAACGTCCACTCAATGAAAATAAAGAACGCCCACTTGCAAAAGCCCTTGTAAGGTCACGCCATGAGTCCTAAGAAGGTATAGTGTCATGAAACATGAAGCAAGAGAAAACAGGAGGGGGGGACGTTTGTTAAAATGTTAATAGTATCACAGGGTTCATTGCCAAGTTTTGCCAGTCTTCTAGAGCCATGACAGATTCGGCAAAACCAACGACAACAAAGGTAGCTTGAGGTGCATCCACTTATACGAGCGTAGAATCCACTCTCACTATTACTATTCAATGGTATGCTGAGGAGGAAAAGAATCTACAACCTGCACCAAGGGACGTTTGGCTAAAACAAGCACACTATACCTATGGTGATAGAAATGCTACAAACATTTTTACCATGTGCAACATAATACTACAGAGCATGCAAATATTAGTATGATAACATAGGTTGTAGCTGTGGACTTGGATTTTGGACTTACCAACTGAACAACATAAGCACATGTGTGTTTCCGTCGAACAACTGAAGCAAGTAGTTTTTGGCATGTAAGTGTCTGATAACATGAAACAAAGCAACAAATTAGGGATATCCTTCACAGCAGAAAGATGATTTTTACATGTGAGCCCTCAATAACAAATACTCCTTTTACTCACAAATTCTGTCACTGTTGTTGGAGGTATGTTCAAAATTAAACCTCTTGCCATTTGGAAATGTTTCTAAATATTTGGTATTTAGCATTGAAAGCATGAAAAATGAACAAACTACTATACTTATATAGTATTAAAGTTGTGTTAGAACTAACATCTCAGAGACAATGAAAAGTCAAAAACATCATACACTTCTAAATTTTGCACAGGCTTGTCACCAGTAGTTATTATTTATTAACACGGCAAAACATATAGGCATGCAAGTGTACACGCACGGGTAGACACAAAATTATGCAGTCTTGCAGGTTGATCGGTAAAGGTGAAGGTTACCTGCAGCTCAATTTCGCCCTGATATGTAGTAAGTGCCACCATTGACATGAGAGCAACAAAATCAAGAACAAGCTCCCCTTGGTTATTGTCCCACGCAAAACTGTTTAGCAATTTTCTAGAATGCTGGGATCCATGTCTACCCACACTGTCAATTTCTCTACTCACATCAAGCGGTACTAAATAGGTTGCAACCCATCTGGCCAGGAACCAAATCACCGCCTACCAACAACCACAAACAAGTTAGGGGAAGTTCATTGTCTTAAAAAACGACAAGTCCAAAAATGTATAGAACAGCTATCTAAAGAATACAAAGTCGACGGGCAAGATGAGATATATTAGTACTTGTAGTACATAAGTAAACTAAATAATATCCCTTAAAGACAACATAAACACTTACGACCTTTGGGAATGGAAATAACAGGTCCAACGAACTGTGCATAGCAAGATAATAGTATAACTCTCGTCCAAAGCAAAAATGGAAATAGAATAAGATGAAGGTGACAGGTAACAGTACAAAAAAGTACCTCCATGAGCCGGGGACTGAAGTACCTCCCTCTAATTCCTGGGTCTAGACATTGCCTTGAAAAATTTATTATAGACCTACATAGACAAAGAGAGTCAACAGATCATGTTGTATCGCAATCCAGTAGCTTAAATCTTGGACAGATAAGCCTAAATTTACATTACCAATGAAGTGGATAAAAATTCCGGTTATAAAACACAGATATTTAATGTGAGGTCTTAATAAATATGCTTCTGAATACCATAGAAGCCTTGTCTTACCTTGTCCATGCGGATGTTTTAACTTATTTCTAAAATTTAATTAAATGATAGATATAGTTGCATAATAGGTAAAGCATTTGGTGTTATAACTCATGAAAACAGGAAATATAATTTTTAGGACCGCGACTCAGTGTCAAATATTTCTATACTATATAACAGAGCTAGCATTTTTCATAAATCAAAACTGGTTCTGAAATTCTTACGTTGCTGACATATACATTAACAGGTATAAGATCAGCAGTTTAACGTTTTCTACCAAACAGGTAGCTCTGTCAAGTGACCAATAGGCAAAGATTATTACCATGACAACGTAACTACAGGATGTTGAGCTACTTCAACTACATTGGTGAATCCCGCCTGCAAAGCTTCAGGAATCTGTAAAAAAATAACTAATAGTGAAAACTTTGAGAGTTATGATATTTATCTTAGCTGATAGGAATAAACACAATAATAATATGTAAGAGCACAGTGCATTCAGTGCAGCATTTTATGTTTTATACAATATACGTAATGATAAATCGAGCACCATATGTTATAAGAACTGAAGCCTCTAACACAAGTTGAATTTGACGATTGCAGGAACTATGAGAAGAAGATGGAACTGCAAATAGTTTATAAAAAATTGAAAACACAAGTAAAAAAGAAGGAAGCTTTGAATTATTTACAAGCAGTGTTTCTCCTTCGCCTGAGTCAGTTAGGACATGACTGGTAATCAGCAACAGCCAATACAGCTCCTCCAATGTTCGAGTGGGATCATTTTCGACATCTCTCTGCTAAGAACAATGTTACACATATCATGGAAGGAAGGTTATTATGGCAGGAACACATAGGTAATTTTGAACCAAGATAAGGCACAAGATGAAGCTAACAAGGAGACCTGGCTTAGCCGTGCAAATCGCTCAGAAAATAGTTGCTCAAGAAAGGGTATGGTGGTGTCAGCAGCTGCTCGTGCAATCAGAGCATACAAGGCCAACTGCTCATCACGCTCTGGACCAAACAGTACTTCATTAGTATAAGGATTCCCAAAGAGGAGGGTGCTCGGAATAGAAAGTATTTATTAAGAAATTCAACATACTTGAAACAGAAACATGAAAGTATTCAGCATCGTCACTATCCTCAAATGCAGAATCAGCAGCAGCTACGTAAACGAAAAGAAGTGCAGTCAGTATGCAGCAGGAGATGAGAACAGCAGATGAAGTACTCTCTATGCATAAGTATCAATGTCTTCGAGGGTAACTTCAAATGAAAAGGTCTGTACCCTTCAAATGTGACTCCACAATTATCTTAAACAAATTTGAAGCTGCAAGTGCTCCATCAGCTGACATAGGACTTTTATCAGCACAAGCTTCCTGTGTATAAACATGATTGAAATGAATCCTATGCAGTAATTAATGGTTATAATTAATAAAATGGCAGAATGGCTTATATTAACCAACCGAAGTACCTACTCTCGTTATGTATATTGGACAGTGTTCAATAAAAATCATGTGATAATTAATTTCGTTTTCGATGTACCAAATAAGGTAAGCCCTTTTATCAGCAAGCAAATCTGAACCCAAGCACTTCCATGCCCCATGGTGCCAAGGAAATTATCGATAACAATCAAGCAGCTTTTAATTCCCTATCGGAAGGGAATATGCTATGACATTGCCGACAGGGAGTTTGTATCTTATACATAATCAGGAATGCGCTCTACAAAGTCAAGTAAATTGTAAAGCACATACAATTGCCAACTTTTCAAGGGGAGAGATGCTACTGTTTCCATATAAGTACATATACCAAAGTCTTTCCAAACAAACATGCACATACCTTTACCAAACAAACATGCATATACCAAAGCATTAAGCTATGCTAAAGAGTAATACAATTATCACTCTAACCTCTTTCCCGTGAAAAAAATAACTCCTCAGTGCTGCTAAGTGATGAACAGGTGATAACCAATCACAGTGGTCAAATTCTCTGCTCTAACGTGCACATTGAACAAAAAGGATTTATGTCATAATTTAACATGCATAACTTGCGTTTGATCAGGGAAAGACTTGGCGGCAAATGATGCCCGATAAACATTAAAAAAATCTTGTGTGGACCTAGAAGACGGAGTCATAAACTTCATTGGAATAATATATGTGACTAACAAGTAGAAAAAGAAACATCATCACTAGCCGACAACCATATCACAAAGGAATATTGGACGGAGATTAGGAATGAGCACTAGATTAAGGAAGTTGCATAAAAAGGTATACAAATAATGTGAAGCACAGATCAATGACAATACCCCCAGAATAACATTCCATGTTTCTAACAATATATCTAGAGCATCTGAACCCCATGTTTCTTCTTCATTCTGGTTATCCAGAACAGACTTGACAGCTTCGGATGTCAAAGCAGAAAGCAGGTTAATTGTGCCATATTGCCTGCAAGCAAGTCCATATTACAAGAAATTAGTAAGTCAAATCCTATCTGGTAAACAAATGGTATGAACAGAACCCTGAAGCTTGAAGGTACTAACAGAAGTGACTTTTCAATCTATTGTGTGTTTACTGATACAAAAGATAATCGTTGAACTTACAATGTGCTGCCTTATAAAAAAGAACAAGAAAAAAATGTGCAATAACTAACCTTATCGATTTCAGGAGGTTGTCAAAAAGTGAACTACTAGTCAAAGATGCCACTGAAAGCAGGACATGGCAAGAATCTATGAACTCACTGCACAAATATTAAATCATAATTCCCATCAATATTTCTTAATGTTTGCTCAGATTCAAGGAAGATCATGATCATAGTTCTTGCACAACCTTTCACTTCCTCCATTTCGAATTGATTCCGCAATGACATTCGGAGGTTCAATCCACAAGATAACAGCGGATAGTATGTGCATAAAGTGTTCAATTTGTGCATCTCCATTATCTGAAAACAGAGGAAAAGGAAGTTATTGAGATGATCATTAACATATTTTGCTCATTTGCTGGTTGAGATAACATTAAGCAGCTTTTCATGAACATCAAATTTGTACAACATGGGAACATAAACAAACAATGAGCATTTGAAATGCAACATACCATTAGGAAAAACAGCGCCTGCCAAGGAGCATAATTGCACTATGAGCTGTCTGCAAGAGACAGCAATAGGAGAATCACCCCATAGTGTATCATACGAGTACTTCTGACGCAGGGTAGTATAGAAGTTCAAAACCCAGATAGTATGTGCACTTGATATAAGAATATCAGTCCACAAAGACCCTGGCTACAATAGAAAATGTAACCATTTATCAGGTGAACTGAGCAAAGATGTAAATAGCTCAAAGACTGTACCTTCACCAATGAACGTTCGAATTTCCTCAGATTTATGGCATCGCTCCTCAAACCAGATTTTATTTTGGCATCTAAATTCTCATGTTCCAAAGTTGGCTTGAAGCTCCAGCTTAAAATTTGAAGCATGAGGCGCAATGCCGCCGAACATGCTTTCTCCTCGGGTATAGTTACATTTGAATTCAAGATTTTGTCTGCGGTATTGAATACAGCAGCTTGTGCCCAGCAATAGAAGTCCTTGCAACAGGAAATGGCACATTAGAACAATGATAAAAGCAGTTTAGATGACATGGCATAGCCGACATTATTCTCATGTGAAAAAAAAAAATATGGTTCCACCTTCAGAAACTTCACTTCAAGTGACAATTGGCATTGGTCATGGAACTCCTTAGGCAGGCCCATAGAAGAAGCAGTTGAAGGGGAAAACTCTGAAACCTAGCTCAAACATGAAATTTGATTCTGACTCAGTTGGAAAGGACAAGAAATTCAGAGAAGCAAACACAACAGCCTACATGAACAGCATACCAAGGTTTCTAAGAAGTTGATCCCAGCAAACTGTCGATTAGGCCCGTGCATGCCCCGGATGGACTGTTCAACCTGAAAATGGTATCAAACAGTAGGTCAGCAAACAAAACGAATGGGAAATTTAAATGATTAAAATTGTAAGACAAACAATTAATACATAACACAATTATGAAAAATAAAACATAGATTTGGCAACCAATAAATACTAGTGGGACTGAAAGCTCTATGTTTGCTTATGAGGGTGAAATTAAACACTATCTCAATCATCCATCTAACCGTCTATACCAATTTCGATTTTGATTTCTTCCTGTACATATAGTTCAGTCCAGCGTTGCCAATTTATGAGAAAATGAAATTTGGATGTCCCTAGTGTAGAGAGATCCACGATTGCCAAAAGCCAAACAGCTTAGGCTATACATCACTGTCTACTTAGCTGGCCCAAGAATATGCAAAGTAGGATACTCTTACTGTTTTCTTTCAAAAATATAATTTTGCTGGCCCACGTATGAGTTATACCAAATTACCTATTTCAATTTCTTGCTGTACATGTATTTCAGTCCAGCATTGCCAATTTATAAAAATATGAAATTGGATGTCTCCCGTTTAGAAAAACCCATGACCATAGAAAGCCAAAAAACTTAGGCTCTACAATTGATGAGGCTGTAGCTGTCTAACTGTTCAGCGAAAATTATACCTCAAAGAAGATAGCACCTTTTTCTTGATCCGGAAACTCAAGCCTGCAAAGCATGTATTCCATATGAAAACATCTAAATTTTGAGTGTCAAATCTTCAAACAGTCAATTGCCTTGAAGCACACTATAGAGCAGAAAATTCAACTGAAATAAAATAATTATCTATATACGCATGCTTTTGAATAGACACCTTTTTTGCATCTAATCATCATGGATGATATCGTACAACCCAACCACCCAAATACCATAACTCTTGATGCAGACATAAGCTAAATAGCTAACTTTTTTTACTAGCAAGAATATATAAGTATTCAGTCCCTTATTGCACCAATTCTTCTTTCCGAAGGCTGCATCACTCTAAAAAGAATCATAACCAACCCGACAACCCAATGAACGAAAAAATATGCACAAATGGATATTTATGCAACAAATAAACAGATAAATAGAAGGTACGACTACGAAGATGCTAGTACAAAGAGGCATAGTGCCATGGCATAGTAGTAAGCAGAAAAGTAAAAAACTAACCAGCCTCTTTTTAGTAACCTAGCTGCCACAGCAGAAACTTTTGATTGCACGTAGCCATCAGGGGAACCTGCATGCTCCATAACGTAGTTCAAACAATATCTACAACATTAGGAGAATTATATTATACACAAGCTTCTTTTGTTGCAATCATCGCACATTAAATACAAGCTTAAAAAACTCCCCAGAAACTCACAGTATTAGGCTTCTTTTGTTGTCATCTGTTAAAATTCCCCACTCCCTTATTGCAGCATCACCAATTGCTCCAGCAGCTTGGAATCTCGCATTTGGCATTAGGGATGTCTCTGGGAGAATCATAGAGGAAAATTGTTAATTTCAACTGACCAAGGTTTTAAATGGCATAATAGAAATATATGTCACTATGTACCCCTGTAATTATATAAACTTCTTTAGATTTGGACGAAACATGGATAGATTAGTTACTTTGATCATTGAAACAACAATATGCATATGACAACCTTGATTGGTAATGTCAATTTTACACACAAATACAATTAGACCCCAGCTTGTTCATTTTAGTTTCACATTATTGTTGATTTGGTATGACACTTCAAGCCAACTAGCACCGACTTGACTTGAGTCTTTTCTTAGCAAGTGATATACTCCCTCTGTAAAGAAATATAAGAGTGTTTAGATCACTAAGTAGTAAGTTAGCATAGTTTCCAGAGACCAAAGATCTTTCAGAAATTACACGACAAGTGCATTTCTAGGGAACTACAGAGTACACAAAAAAAGGGACAAACCCAGTGCTAGAAGCTCCCATGCCAAGTGGGGTCTAGGGAAGGAACGAGTCAAGCCTTATCCCTGCAAGGTGCAATGCAGAGCGGCCACGTCGAACCCAGACCTCTTGGCACAAGCGGGGAGTACTTCACCACAGCACCAGGCCTGTCCTTCTAAACTACAGAGTACACAAAACCAGCAAAAAATTACATAAAGCTTAAACAGAGTATTTTATTAAAAAGAATGATAATAGACATATTCTCAAAATGGCCCTGGGCAACTCGAGAAACATATACACCTAGAGATTCACAACTTCAGAAATTTGGATTGCCATTACATAACAAAATAAGCTCTCTTCCCACTAGATAAATTCACTTTAATGGTCACTAGATTTACTCAAATAGTAAAGTGCAAGTACAGCTGGCATAAGCTAATCACAGGAAAAACAACTAACAGATGAATCTATGAGTTGGTCTACAAACTGCATTTAAAGATGAGATGGGGGCATTTGCAACATTTGTTTCAGTTGATTCTTGTTTTAAATCATAAGAAAGAAAAACTGTACAGGACAAAGGTTACATAGACGGACAATCCTGCTGATATGAGAAGTCCTAGGTCCTACTCAGCAATCCACATCCAAATTGAGGATATCTTAAGCCTTATCGAGAATTGATTCCAGTTCTTTGATGTGTGCAGCTAAACAACAGCATACCAAGAATAAATCTGCATGCTTGATAAGGCATCAGAGATGAATGGAGTGAACTTAGAACTTTTTCCGCTTCAGCCGGATTCATGTGCACCTGTGAAAATCATGCAGACGTCAAAAGATTGTCTCCTGAGTAAAGTTCATGGAAAATGGATGAAACATCTATAGCAAGGAAAATGGTTCTATGCTCATTCAATGTCCCCTGCCATAGAAATCACATACTCAAAATCTATAATAGCAAGAAATAAAACCACCAAAGTGGCAATTAAAAGGGATCCCCTCGCCAGATCAACACGGAAACACCGATTAGTAGCCCCGATACCAATTGTAAGAACTCTCGCTAAAGACCAGTATAAACTTCGGTGCCAGCTGAACTGTGCCTTTGCTTTACTCGATGAGGCATCAGAATATCTCACCTGACTGAATAATTCAGAGGCGCCAAACCCCCTAAATTAAGCAACTAACTCTAAAGCACCTAATCCTCGTCGACAACGCAGTAAACAAAAAGGATCCCCTCACCAAATCCGCACGGGAACACTGATCAGCAGCGCGCAGCAAGCACTGATCGATGGTTCAGGGAGGAGAAAGACAAAATGCCACAGCATCTGCGCGAACCAAGCACTTCCTCCATCAAACGACGCCAAGGCACAACAAAGTCGAACAGAAGCCCGCTGCCCACATGCGGGCCAAATCTACAGAGACACCGACGAAATACAGAGCGCTAGCCGCAGGAAGGGGCAGAGACGCTGAATTTAGCAGGGCGATAACGTCGTGAGCGTCCGCAGCAGCGAGCTGGAGAGGGCCCTGACCTGGATGAGGGAGCAGGCCTGCTCGATGGCGAGCATGGTGGCCTGGAGCTGCTGCGGATCGGGGACGCCGCCGGGGAAGCCCTGCATGGCGGCGGCTACTGCTGCTTCCGATCGCAGCGTCTATATGCTTGCTCTTGGGTCCCGGCGGTGGCCTAGGGCTTCAGGCCGCCAGCCGTGGAGGAATTTGGGGTGGGAGCGAGGCGGAGGCCGAAGTGGAGAGCCGAGAGAGAGAGAGAGCGGCTGATGATGGTTTTCCTTGGGTTTGGGGGCGGAACAGAGGCGACGAGTATAATTAATCAATTTAACTGGAATCGAAATGTTTATAGCTTTTTAGGGCTTTTGTTTGGTCAAAAAGTGATTCTATAGGAATTTTTAGATATATTTGTATATAGGATCCTAAGCCCAACTCCACCGCGCGACCCTATCATGTCCGCCCCGTCCGTTTGGGGTAAAACGGACAAAGGAGGCGGCCCAGCGCGCGACAGCCCGGACCCATCTTGTTTCTTTTGTGTCCGGGCCGACCCATTTCGAGCGCAAACTTGCGTCGGGTTTGGTCGCGACGGACACCAAACGAACGCGCGCCTCGTCCGCGTCGAGGCCGCGTGGCAGACGGCCACCTACTTCCCACCCGCCCACATGAATGCACACGAGCAGATGGCCCCACCTGTCATCCGCACGTCGAACGGTCGTCGTCCTTCTTTAAGTGGGAAGCGTGGACGGGTCGTCGTCCACACTGCCCCACACCATCCCGCGGGCTCCTCGAAACCCGACAGCCCCCGTCCCAAACCCTAGCCAACACCTCGCCGGTCGGCCGCTCGCAGCCATGGGCCGCAAAGGCAAACACGACTGTGAGGTTGGTTCCTCGTCGGGACGCCGCCGCGGCTCGCCATCGCCACCACGCCGGGCCCTCGTGCCGCCCGCCTTCTCCATCGCGCCCACGTCCGCCGGCGGCCGTGACCGGCATTACGTCCGCTCGTCGGTGTGCCGCCGTTATTGGGAGACGAGGACGTCGCTCCCCTGGAGCGACGTCCATCTCCCCAATGACTGGCATCTCTCCGCCGACCGGGTCCCGATCCCGCCGGTCCCGACGAGCGGCCGTGCGCGCGGCAGGAAGATCGAGCGCCGTCATCGCCTCCTCCCCGACGACCTCTTCTACGACCCCAGGTACGCCCCCGACTCCGGGCTCTGGGACATCTGGTTTCGTGACGAGCACGACACCAGGTGCGCGTCCTTCTTCGCCGGCACCTCGACGGGGCCGCGGCGGCCACGACAGGAGCGTGCAGCGCCTACTCCCCAGGAGCGCGGGCGTAGGCGGGTGCGCAGCGTCACGCCCACGCCGTCGCCTTCGCCGTCTCCATCGCCACCACCACCTCCTCGCATGATGGATGAGGAGGAGGCCCGTCTCATGGCGCGTGTTATGGAGGACTCCATGTACACGCACGATGAGCGGCAATGGGAGGGCCTGGAGGAGATGGCGGCCCGCTCCGCTGCCGGCGAGGTAGCCATCCCCGAGGAGGAGCCGCCGGTGGTCGCGTTCCAGCAGCTGCTGGGCCAGGGGTGGGGCTGATCCTGCACTACTCCGGAGATGGCCGCCGGCATGGGCGTGAACTGGTGCCCCACTCCGGCGCGGTCACCGGAGCGGGAGGCGTCGCCACGGGAGGAGGTGGTGCAGGCACCTCCGGCCGTCCAGCCCGCCCCCGTCTACCACGCACCGCTGGTCCACTTGTGGACGCCGCCGGCCTACGTCGACCCCGTCAGCGACGACGACGACACCGGCGGCCAGTGAAGACGGCCACGGCCACGGCACCGACGGGCGCGGCAGGAGCGCGCCGGAAGCGTTTTTTATTTTGTTTTTATATGTCAATTATGAAACTGGGCCTTTTAAGTGGCCGCGGAAACTGGGCCGTTTTGTGCCGACCCCTATATATGTTTTATATTTTTTAAATGTGTTTATTTACTTTTTTTAGTTATTTCATTCTAGTTTTATTTTTTTTATTCACGTCCATCCCGGACACGATTTGGGGTGCGGCCGCGCGGTGGGCACACGCACGACCTATCTGACAAAACTGGACACGGGCGAACCCATCGGCGCCCCAAAGGGACAAAATCAGGCCAATCCGGACGTCCGTTTGGGGTCGCGCGGTGGAGTTGGCCTAAATACTACAGAGTGCAGCTGCGCTATTCCGTTGATCACGCTCCTCTCTCATCAATGTGGATAGATCCCGGGTGCCACCAAACCTAACCACCTGAGTCATGTCAGTCCATTAGCGCGGTGACCGTCACGACATGGGCCCAGCCCACCCGACTTGTGGTGGTCTCGAATTACGTGCATGAATGATGGTGGTCGCGCGCATGCTCTCAGGTGCACGCGCATGCTCTCAGGCGCACGCGCATGAGAGAAAGCGGAAAAGGGACAAGGAGAGGGGAAGCGTGGCGGCGGGAAGAAGGAAGAAGGGTTATGGTTAGGGTTTGTGCATGGGGTGCAACTTTAAGAGAGTAAAGGGGAGGATCGGGGGCGCGATCGGTAGGTGCGTCTCACGTCAATGCCCAAGAAAGAAGACGACGACGAAGGGTTGGTGGGTTGGGCCCCGCGGGTTGCGGGAGGGAGGAAAGAAGGTGGGTGATACTCAAGGTGCGCATTCCGTTTTTTCGTTTGATTCGGTTTTGGTTTATATGGTTTTTATATTTTAGTTTATATGGTTTTATACAGAGATACAATTCAATTTCGGTATTAACCATTTATTTTTGGTTCGGTTTCGGTAATAACCAAAGTAAATACATGTAACTTTTCACATGTAAATACATGATATATATCATAATGAGGAAAGGGCGATAAAAAAAGAATAAAGAAGGGATGTGGATAAGCAATCAAGCTAATCACGTAAACTCAAACACTAAATGGACTAGAAAGTATTGTACTATAGCATCCCATTACGCTTTTGGACCCAAAAAACCTTAATTTTGGTTAATTCGGTTTAACCCTATGGTTTTTGGTTTCTAAACGAAAAACCGAAATGCAAATGGTTTTCATATTTCAAAACTGAAACCGAAACCTTAAAAAACTGAAATTTCGGTTCGGTTTGGTGTTTTTGGTTTGAATTGTGGTTTTCGGTTCGGTTTTGCACACCCTAAGGAGATAGGTCCCAAACGTATATAAATTTTGATTGTTCAATGGTATCATATTAGCATTTCTATATATACCTTTCATAGCGATTTATATTATTTTTATGAACCAACCTATTAATTTAGTGCCTGGTGAAAGTTCATGTTTATTGCTTGTTCTTTTATTCGCGGGAAGTCAATATCTACATAGGTCAAAATATTTTGCCGATTTAACACGATTTTTTGGCAACAAGAAACACTTGAAGCTTCAAGAGGAGTTGAGAAGAGCCACGAGGGGCCCACAAGGCCAAGTGGTGCGTCTAGGGGTGGCCGTGCCCCTCGTCCACAAGGCCAGATCCCGCCTTGACCTGATTCCATCGTCATAAAACCCTATACATATCAAAACCATGCATCGTACCTCCAGAAGAATTTTATCACCACCGCATGTCTCTGTTCTAAAGAAATCCCATCTGGAGCCCTGTTCCGGAGCCCTGTCAAAGGGGGAAGCCGTTGTCGGAGGCCTCTTCATCAACCTTCCTGCCTCTATGACCATGTGTGAGTAGTTCCTTTAGGCCTTGTTCAGTTCCATGACAAATGAGAGGGATTGACAAGTATTGGCAGGGATTAAATCCCATCTAGTTCAAATCCCCCCCCAAATCCCTTCCAATCCACTCCAATCCACTTGGGGAGTGGCTTAACCGAACAAGGCCTTAGGAAGTCATAGTAGTAGCTAGATGACTCTCTCTCTCTCTCTCTCTCTCTCTCTCTCTCTCTCTCTCTATCTATCTATCTATCTATCTATCTATCTCTTGTGGATCTTCAATGCCATGTTCTTTCTTGATCGACATCTCTTCGATGTAATCAATGTTGTGTTTGTTGGGACATGATGGATTATCATTCTACAATCAAATCGTTCATTGAAATCAACTGAATCTATTTGGGTTTTCTTGCTACATAATTAAATAGCTTTGTATTTATCTCCGACCTATCTATCTATCTTCTTTAGCCAAGTTTGGTTGATTTATATTCAGTGTGAGAGGTGCTTTATAGTGGGTTCAATCTTGAAGTGCTGTAGCCCAGTGCCAAAAAGGGCCAAGACATGTATTGTACTATTGCTAGTAAGGATCAAACGACGGGGTTTTGTCATATTGATTGACTTCTTCATGTCTACATTATGTACTCTTGCTTATTGCGATACTCTGTTTCTTGCAAACTTAATACTTTGAGATGCATGCTAGATAGCGATTTAGGAGTGGAGTATTAGTAGTAGATGCGATTGGACTAACGGTCTAGTTATCATGGACGTAATGCTTATGTGAGATTATGCCATTGTCACGTCCCGATTTTTTCCAAAATTTGGAATGTTCAAAATTTAGAGGGAATTAAAATTTGCTTGCTAAATAACTAAAGTTTGTTGATGGTTTGATTGTGGTTGATTGCTTAGGAGGGGTAAATGTCATATGCAACTTGTTGAAACCTAGTTAGCATTTGGTTGAAATCTAAATACTAAAAAACTAAATGTTACAGAATACCCTAAAAGGGCTGAATAGGAAGTAATTTCCCAAAAGGAAATTATTAAATAAATATTAAAGACAAGTAAAGATAGGTCAAGGGAAAATGAAGTTACAGAAAACCAGGACATAACTATTTTGGAAAATAAAATATAGTCAAGAGAAATGTTTAAATAAAGCCCGCAAAATAAAGGTACATAAATAATTGCTCAAAAGGCTCAAATAAACTGTTCACATGTATAGGAATTTTCCAAATAGATTTTAGAGCATTTTTTCTTTTGGAATAAAATTCAAATTCATAATGGATTTGAATTTAGAAACAAACAGAAAAAGAAGGGAGAAAACAAAAAGCAAATAAAAAAGAAAAGGGGCCAACCAGCCAGGCCATGTTGGGAACGCAATATTTCAAAATTTTACCTACGATCACGCAAAATCTATCTAGCAGATGCACAGCAACGAGACGGGAGAGTGTGT